ACGTCACCAACACCGGCGCTGTAGCCGGCAAGGTCGTCCCGCAGCTGTACATGTCGTACCCGAAGAACGTGCACGGTGTAGACTTCCCCGTCAAGGTCCTACGTGGATTTGACAAGTTCAACTTGGAAAAGGGCGAGAAGAAGACGGTCACGTTCAACGTGACACGGCGTGACCTCAGCTACTGGGACGTACGGCAACAGAACTGGGCGATGATTACGTTTGGAGAGTACTCGTTCCTTGTTGGCGAGAGCTCGAGGCATCTGACGCAAAAGGGCAGTTGGTAGTTGTTGTATATTTCTTGGTTTCCGCTGGTTTGAAGCCATGTTTGTTTAGGAATTGAAGATTGTGGGAAAACACATATTGGCGTCTTTGTTTCTACTGGGGGATTGTTGTACATGAGGAGGCTACCAGGAGTCTCGTGAAGGTGGTTGATCTACGCATACAGAATGTGAATAGAGCTCCTCGTTAAATCACGTATGAAACGTGCTCTGATTAAATTGACTTCGGCTCTATTCATACCTGGGCCTAATGATAATCTCGAGAGGATCGGTCCATGCTGAGACCAGACTGCCAGGAAATCAGATGTGTATGAATGAGATGCCGTGGAATTTTGAACCCAAGAGGTGGTGGCCTGAAGGCGACTTCCCAAAGATCTTTGATACCGAAGTGTGACATCTACAAGTGAGGTGGTTGAGAAGGCGATGGGCCTGGTGGACGGTCTCCGTTGGTAATGGTTTGTTTGTTGTCGTTCGCCCTTGGCTCGCCTTGCCACTACCCCCCCCCCCCCCCAGAGTCGTGGACCAGTGTCAGTTATTCTCTTCCTGATTGGAAATATGGTCGAAATGATTAAAACACTGATCCACGACTCTCGAGCAGCAGGGCGAGTAAAGCGTAAAGCACGGCACATCCGGAGATAGTGATGGAGTTGCATGGTGGCGAGAATTGATGGAGGCAAACAGACTGGAATCGGACCGATGTTGAGACTGTATCTTCAAGGTAGAGATGATTCAGTAGGTACCGGTTACTGGAACAGAAAGTTTCTTTGGGGTATCAAGGTTCCAAGCAAGCATATGCCGAATGTCGCATGACGGGTGACCTGATGATCATTGAAGTCTCGTCATCCAGGCATCAGCGACGTGTATTGGGTTCAATGTATTCCAGGCAGCCGTCTTTCATTACGATCCAGTAAATGTACGTATGTGATTTACTTACCATGATGTCAGTGAAGGCATATTGAAACCTGCGGAGTTCTCGGAGTGTGGTCAGCAGGTAACCGGCAACGTGGCCGTGGAAAAGAGCTCTACTCCGTGAGATAAGCGGAGGCCGCTGGGCTCGGGGACCTCGATCAACTTCTTTTCGAGGAAAGATGTGTGACACAGTGAATTGCTGTTACCCGATGCAGTCAGCAGCGGAGAATCGATTGGAAGTAGGTAGTGAGAAACACGTGATCGGCTCTAAGGTACGATGGGTAAGCCCAACCTCACAAATCTCACCAACCTACCTACGAGCTGTCTGCGCAGGGAGTGGGGGCTGCAGGCTTGTTCTAAGGTAATCGCTGACAGTCATTGTCTAAGGTACCGCACCGTACCTACCGTACATCACGTGCTGTTGTTACCTAGGACTGTTCTATAATTTCATTCTAGCTTACTGAGCAGAGTGCAGCATGTTGACAGCTGACATATCATCGGTTGTCGTGAGGATGTGACGTCTCGGCGCGAATCACTGGCTACGATGATGCGCCCGACCAGTTGCCATTTCGCCATAGCAGCAAGTCTTCGTCGTCGTGGAATCCACTGTGGGCACAACAGAGTTTGAGGGTCGGTGACGTCCGGCGTGGGGGTGTTGAAGTTAGGTAAGGTGAGGTGAGGTGAGGTGAGGTGGATGTGGAAGTGAAGGGGAGTTTTGGAATGCCATTCTTCAACGCACCAGAAGACAGGACGCCCGCTTCCGCTCCGGATCCGGCGGACGGGAGTTCACGATGGCAAGTGCTTGTCAATTGGAAGGATGCAGGAGCGGATGCAAGGCACTGCTTCCAATCTTGCATTCAAAACATCCTAGAACCTGTAGGAGCTGCCCAAGAAGGAGCAATAACTCGAGACACATACCTAGGTTGGCTCCCTCCATGAGAAATGATTCCCCATTAGGAAAGAAAGAATTAGAGCTTCGTCCCTACCTGCTTCTGCCGCCTTGTCGGATTGTCAGGAGCCGGATGGCTGAGGAAGGAGCGACGGGGCAAGCCACATCCGCAGCGAATCATGGCCCTTGCTTCCTTCTTTCTTTGTATTTCCATTGGTCAATATTTCCACGTGTGAGCCTATAAACTGGGCCAACTGGCATTAGGCTGTGGCGCAGTCAAGAGCCCCCGTGCTGTCAGATCACCGTGTGTGCGTGTGAAGTTTCTCTGTCTGCCGTCTTTCTTGTTCCTTTCTACCTAACTTCCATGCTTCATCCTGTCCTCTCATCCCAACTTGTGTTAGTCGCCGCGCTTGTTTCCGGTCTACCGCGAGTCTGCCGGCCTTGTCCGACGTTTCGAGCCGTAACACAGCAAACCAAATGCTTCGCATCGCGCTTATGATCCTTTCTTCCAGGGCCGTAGACGGCGCTTCCGCTATCTGTATTCTTCCGGCGCTTGGCTCTTTGTGAGGTGCTCCTCCGGGGCATACAGAACCTGCGAGTCTGCCTCGCCAAATATCCAATACGGGATTTTTCAAGGCTATTCTCACATCTTTGGATACCTTTCGCTCGGCGTTTGGAATCCTGTGTCGGATGGGGCAAATTCCTTCCTTTGGAGCATCCTGTTGATATGGGATCGGCCGGACGGATCTCCTTGCGGCTACAGTATGTCGATCGATCTGCTCAGGTAGGGCCCGGTCTTACAGCTACTCCCAGCCTCAACTTCAGCAGCCCGTTGTCGACTTCCAGAAGAAACCCCTCGGCCCGTTATCATTGGCCTAAGACCCTGGTAAGCGGGAAGTTTGGGAGCCGAGGTACGGGCTTAGCCATGCCTCAAAGTCCAGAACTAGACACATCCTGGTATTGTTTCTAGCCTCTAGGAACGCCAAACACGCGTGCAGGATGCTCGACCTGAAGCAGACAACAACCTCTATCCTAAAGGACCAAACCCTTCACAAGTGGGATTCAAGATTCCTCACAGCGAGTCCAGATCCAAACTGAGACCCCCCGCCGACACATGGGCAAAAGAGTTCGAGCGGCGGGGCGGCTGAAATGCAGACTAACCAACCCATGGATAAAGCAACATGGTTGACACTCAGCCCTATGGAATCACCCCCGCATCTACGACTTACTCTAACGTGGTTGATGTCTGGGATGCTCAAACATCACGCGAGCTATGCAAGGTTGAGACAGAGCTTGGTTCGCGCTTGCGGATACCTACCACGACCCTTTTTTGACATCTGTGCAGATTTATTCTGCAAACTCACGCCTGCGTGTAACTAAAGTTCCTCGCATACGTCCGTTCCGTGCCCGGTCTCGATGCTATTCCGCCCCCCCCCCCCCCCAGTCTGTACTCCGTGGGCACCACGGCAGAACACCAGGCCCGCTCGTCGCTTTACAATTCATTGTCGTATCTGCACGCCTATCGCAAACGGTCCCTCTGAGACTTATTGGTCCATTGGCGCCAATCTTCAAGCCTCCACCAAACAAGCTAATCGACCTCCGTCGGATTGCCAGAAGGAGCCTCCCATCCTGCTCAGCCGCAATGCCTTGCTCTGTGTCTCGGCATCCTTCGCCATAGTCAAAACGTCCTCCATATGCAATATTCACCTGACGATAGACCGGGGACGCCCGAACAATCACGGGCCGGGAATGGCGTGGGGTGGGCAACCATTAGTCCCTGCCATACGATCTGTCCTCCACTAAAATCTGACGTTGTCTTTCTTGGGACCCTGCCACCCTCTGTTCCCGTTGACCGGCTGCCCAAACACCCTATGAGATGGCTCTCATTGTTGACACTATGCCTGGTAGGGCTGCAGCTAGCACCTTTTGCGCAGTCCGTACCACCCCAGAAGCATGCATGTCTAGGCTGTCCCGGCTTCTGGGGTCAGTTTATCGCGATTTCCATCGTCATCGCTAGGGTGGTGAGCTCTTCTGGGAGCTCGAGACAAAAATACGTCTGCTCTGTCAGCAGCTTTACTCATCGACACCTGTATGCGATGTGGCCAATCACTGACCTCAACCTCGTTTTCTCGCCCATCACACTGCATATCGTCCCCTCCTCACAAGCATTCCATGTCTTGGGAGAAAGAGTCAATGGAAGTCTCGAGCATGTTCTTCGACCAGACCTGTAGCATAGCCGGTCCGCTGGGAATGGGTGAAGTCTTTGGTCAGGAGCACAGTGATCATCCGTTCTGTTGTCACTGGTCGTGGCACACCCATTCCTCATCTGTCTTCTTGGTGTACGCCCCTCTGATACGGTTGCCGTAACCCCTGACGTCCTCTCCGATGCCTTCATCAGCCTCAGCCTCAGCTCCGGGCCACATCTCCTTCCATGTGGATGCTTCCTCACCGTTTAGAGTTCAAACGCTTGACTACCATTGCCGGTGCGGTGTCCGGCATTGACATACATTGTGGCTGGACAAACCCATATCATTATGATGCATCATCATATGCTCACTTTTAGCTGCAATCTCCTTCTTCTGGCTCTTGGAGAACGAATCTTGACCATACAAAACCATTTCGTCGTTTCAGATACCCGATACAGAAGCAACTCTTCCTCGGTGTTACTCCATACCAAGCTTTCTGACGGTCTTTGCCGACTGTTTGAGGCACCGCAAACTCACATCATCTCTCATCTCGTGATACGCCGTCTCCGGTTCGACTACTGGGAATCTCTGTCCAGTATTCAAAGGCTATCTTGGGTCACTGAGCTCTGCCGACGTCATCGCAACAGCAAGGCACGTCCACTTGGAGGGTGTCTGATTACCTCGATCGACCCATCTACTCGGTTCGGAGATTCTACCCCGAAGTGGACGTCCGTCGTGATGAGTGTCAAGCTCGAAGTCGACGAACAGGATATATCACTAGCTTCCCCCGATCCGCATCTGCCACTTTCTTTGGATCACAGCCACACGAATATCACCCAGCTCGAAGGTCAAATAGACTCGGATACCCAGTACACAGTCGAGGATATCCTTGTCGCCTTTGCGCCGCCATCAGTCAGTCAGGAGTCTCATCCTTCCCGCAGACCGTCGTCAACCATGTCTTCGTCGCGTTCCGGCCGCTCGGGAGGGTCATCAAGCCACCACCGTAGCTCCAAGAGTAGCAAGAAACCAAGGGCGGTTCAAGTTAGTCACGGCCTCCTCTTTGTACTACCTCCCTATCCCCTACAAGGACGCACCACTAGACCTAGACCCTTCTCAAATACTTCCACTCTCAAGTCCAAGATGACACTACTGCACTCGATCCATCCTTCTTCATCGGGCACCGTACTGACACTTGACTACCTATAGCGCTCAATCCAACAACTCATCGAGTCCCTAGAGACGCACAGGGTCAACACCCTCACAGAGCTCTGCCGCATCGAGCGCGTAGCGGCTACCTGCGAGAACGAAGAAGACGCCCTAGCCTTCCAAGGTCCAATGACCGCCGCCTGGGACTACTATGTGAACAGCAACCAGTTTCTCACTGAGCTCCGAGGTCTGACACGGAGCTATCCCCTTTGCAGCGACCTTCTATACGACGCCCACGTCCGCGTGCGCAACGATCCCAACTCGAACAAGAGCTGGAACCTGGCCTGGTTGTGTCTGGTCAAGATTCAGGAAGAGTGAGTACTACCATCACCGTCACCGAGCCATACTGTGAAAGATGAAGGCTGACGTTTTGTTATTATTGCGATTGCAGTGATCTCGTGTCCGGATACGCGGCCCTGGAGGCCAGCAAGCCCGAGATGTGGGGAGGCCGCGAGCCCTCTACCGACGAGGCGGCCCAGCTCGGCGCCTGTTTTGAATATGAATGGAATAAGGCCGTCGACACGATGTTGCGGCACTGGTCTGTGCCCCCGACGTGGTTCTAGTCTGGCTGTGAGGGACCCACGGCCATGGTGAGCTGGTCTACATGAGCGTGAGGCTGCAAAAGACGGGATTTGGAGGACTTTTCAAAGAAGAAGACTTACGACATGCATCTTTTCATATTTGAGCATGAGCGAGCGAGGCAAAGGGATTCTTGTTTCGAGGCATGGCATTGGCATGGGGATTCTGGGCATTGGGAAGAAGGATTGTCATACACCACTCAGTCTCACGACAATGATCGGTTTTCATAGCATTTTTTTGGACACTTTGTTGTACTTGACCCTCTAGAAGAGCTGTACAAGTCACGAGGTTGCAGTCATAGAGGGCTTCTGGCAAGCCCAACGGATACATCTCATCTACCCTTGTTTAGGAGCATAAAAAATGCGAGGAGTGCACTCATTCTAGCACAACTTTGCTTTTGCTTCCTATGGAAGAACTGGAATCAACAAAGATCAACCATTTAATCATGTTGGGAGTAAGATTATATCGTCGAGTAATATTACTGCGAACTTGATTGTTAGAATATTCCAGAATTATCGAAACGCTTAGTAAGCAAGAGATAGGAACCGTCGTTAAAGTTTACGGGCGTAACTGTATGTATGGCATGGTATCCGAATTGGGGGCACGTCGAATGCGGTGGTGAGAACTTGGTTGGTTCTCAAATTGCGCCGGTCCGCCGACGGACTATCATCCAGGTTTTCGGGTGCGGTTTTGACTGTCCGCCATGACCATCGCCTCCTTTCCGCGATGTCCCAAGGTTCCTGGCAATAACATCTGCGAGTGATGTGAAACCAATGCAGGCAGTCACTACAATGCGGGCATGGGTAGGCGTGCAACCCCCACGGACACGGCGATGCTCGTAAGGGCTATTTGCAGTACAAAGAACTGCACATAGTCACGAGTCTCGTATGTAACACCAGACTTCTAAAGACTAACCAAATCTTAAGATTTACGAGTCTCGGCCCGGCATTGGCCTCTTGAATCTATATCGTGTAGCTGTCTGCCTCTTCTTCCTCTTCTTCCTCATCTTCCAGAGGGTGAGCTGGCTCCACCTCTCTCTATTGATGCAAATATATCCGCTTTGACCAGACGTTTCCGACCCTTTTCCAATGCTATGATTATCCGAAACATTTTCCGACCATATTAAAAACAGAAAACCCGGCGGGTTTACTTGTGTGTTGCTCATGACGTAGCGGGTAGCACAATAGCTCATGGCTCAGTTTCGCCGTCAGTGCCATCTTCCTCGCCTACCCAGTCGTCACTCTCGAGACCGCGGTTGCGGATGGCGAGAGATCCAATCCACCCTAAGAGGGCAATGCCGCCAAATATGCCCCAGACTAGAGCCTCACCCTTGGGATGGACACGCGTGGAGAGCGTGAAGAGGGAGCCAGAGACAAACGGCCCAAAGCTGCGGCCCGCTGCAGACAGCGTCTGAGCGATGCCATTCAAGGTTCCCAAAGTAGCATGATTCGGTGCACAGTTTGTGATCTACAACCATCGTTAGCAAGAATTCAATATTTCAGTCAAACGAAGATAACTCACCAAGAGCATAACGCTAGAAAGGCCGCCCACGGCGCAGATGTTCTTGATGATGAGGATAACGCCCAGTTCGATGTACAGCCAGGCAGAACCGCTGCCGATACCGAAAAGCGGCTCGTCGTCCAAGTACGGAATCCAGGGCATCAGAGCCATGCTAATGGCCAGTCCCAGCAAGGCAATGCGGTACGTGCCCAGGTTTCCCAGCCGCGTCTTCAAGTGCTGGAAAAGGAAAGCTTGGAACACAATAGTGGCCACGCCTGCCAGACTGAGACTGATACCGATTTTGCTTGGCGGAAGACCGCGTCCTGTTGGAGGGTTGGCGTCGGCGAAGATCGGGTACAAGCTGTTGTAGGAGATGTTTGACAGCTGAAATACTAGGTAAGTTAATAGTACGAGAATCGTATTGCGATTCAAAAGTTGACGCCATGTCGCCAGGTCGCCCGGGAGCTTCGCGTCATCGTCGGCATGAGCATCGTTCTCAGATGCATGCTGAAGCAATCCTTGATCCTCTCCCGCCTCATCCTCACCGTCTTCCTCTTCTTCATCGCCGTCGGTGCTGACCACGGCTTGTGCTCCGCGGCGAGGCCAGCGCGTGGCCCACGAGCCTCTACGCGGTTGCGCCTCTCGCGAAACCCAGGACCAAGCTTTGCGCGCCCAAGCAGGAATCCATGCTGCATGGTCTGGTTCCAACGTTTCTAGTGTCTCCTCGAACCAAATTGCAACGACAATCACGCTGATGAACAGCAGCCCTGCACTCAGCAAGTTGGGCGCGAGATATGGGTACTGTTTTCCCATGGTACCAACCAGCAGCCCGCCCAGGGCCGGACCCGTGATGCCGCCTAGGGAATAGATGACGGGAAGCCATGTGAAGGCCCGACTTTGATTAGACCGGTCCGTCACTTCGCCTAGAACGGTGGGAACCACGGCAGCGTTACCGTTGAGCATACCCATGGCCACATGAACGACTACGATCTGCCAGTACGTCTTGCAGAAACCGAAACCCACAAAACAGCCTGCCAACATGAAAGTGCCAAGGACCATTGTCGGTTTCCTGCCCACAACGTCTGATAGGTAGCCCCATAATAAGTTCGTTGATAATTGAGCGAGGGCAAACGCTGAGGCAAGGATACCGACGTATAGACCTGTTTGAGAGTCGGGTATATCGGCGAAGGACTCAACCATCTGAGGCAGGTAAGGGCCGATGGAGTTTAACGCTGTCTGCTCGCTCAAGGAAAGGAAGGCAAGCAAAGCAAGCTGCTTGACGGGCAGAGGAGTCTGCCGGTGATCGTCATCAGAGGCATCAGAATCTTCATCGGAATGTGGGAAAAGCTCTGCCGAGGATTGCTCGCGGGGTGTCTTGGGAGGTGGTGTCGGAAAGGTGTGATATCGGTGAGTAGACTGGCGTCGCATCGTAGTCCTCCGGCTGGACTCGATGTTTCCGAGCGTAGGAATGGGAGCGCCTGCGTGAAAGGAACCGGACGATGCTGTCCGGGACACAGCAGCTGCGCGAGCAATATTGTTACTGTTGGTGGTACGAGGCATGTTGGGAGCTGCGGCAATTGAGGTGGCGCAGAGCCTGATACCGGAGGACGAACAGAGGCAGCTACACAGGTTCTTGCAGCACTAGCGGTGACGTCGTCGAGATGGTCGTCGAGATCGGTCACGGTTTACGGAGGTCGTCGGTGGTAAGTGGTCGGAGATGGGTTCGGTGGTGAGCTGCTCGTTCGGGTGTAGCTGCTGGGACCGGGCTACCCCGCTGCCAGGGTCTCACGGGGATGGAATGCAGAATCGCAGCCTCCAGCGCATGGTCTCCAGCTATCTGTAGATGCGAGGAGGCGACGTGGTTTGAGAGGGGAACAGGACAATTGAAGAGATGGGCACACTTGGGAGGGCGAAGATGTGCGCCTCTCAATGTCCTGAATTGGGAGGTGCGGAGGAGAAGGAGGAGGAATCAAAGGTCGCAAGATGGGCGAGGGGAAGAGCGGCGCGGATGGTGTTGCGACGCAATGAAGTAAGGCAATTAATTAAGCGGGTGGTTGAAGAACATGGAAGGTGCTGTAGGTCGGCGGAAGGATATCGGCGGGTAGCTCTCGGGCTGGACCTGATGCGACGTAAGAGCTGCCCAGAAGAGCAAGCGAAGACGGGGAGAGGTGACGAGTGAAGGTCCAATTAGAAAGAAGCACAGACATGGGTGACCTCATTTTTTCAGTACTTTTCTTTTCGGTTTTTTTTCTTCCTTCCCTTTCCTTCCCTTCTTTCAGTCCTTCCCTCTGATTTTCGTGGGTACGTAGTCCCTTCGCTTCGCTTGGGGCCTGGGTTGATCCGTGCTCGGTGCTCGCGGCTGCCTGTGGCTCGTGCATCAGGACAAAATGGAGGTGGCAGGCGGGAAAGTTAAGCTTTCCGCACTGACTGACACCAATCGCACTAACAGCCAATCAACGCACGAGGAGATCGGGGCAGGCACGAGGCTCGCACTGCGGTTTCTTTCTCGCATCACGCGCAGATGATGACGCCCACCTTCCAAATCACCACTTTGTCATTGGCCAAAGCCATCTGATCTCGCATCTCTCATCTGGCCTTGATCGTCCCAGATCTTCCCACCCACGCATCTCCAATTAGCAAAATCTAGTGTAAACGGCCACTAGGACCCTGGCATTTGGCCTCTGCTCTTTTTCACCTGGCTGTGGCATTCTACATTACACGTGTATTCCTCGGCATCTCTAACCGTTCGTCTCTTTAACGCCATCCAATCATTTGACTCAACACACCGCCGTGAATCCTTACCAACCCAGTACCCAACTATTCGAAATAGCGGCAGGGTTGAACAGACACTGCCTTGTGATCAACACATGTTGGCACCAGGCCATATCTCTCCGAGACCGCATCCAACGTGGCAGCGAGACATCTGACCCTGGGTCAGAAAACCTCCGAAGCTAGCCTCACGCAGGGTCCTGTCGTGTGCCTTTTTAGACTGGCAAAGAGATGGTCCACGACCCTGCACTTGACGCCCCAAACAATTGAAGAGCTATCCCAAGGGCTTCGAGTCATGTGTGGATGCTAATAGCTGGTGTGCGATGCTAGCAAATCTTTCGTTGATCTCGTGTCAAAACTTTGAACAAGACTAAGACCAAATCTTGCGAGATATCTCCTTGATCGTCTTATGGATGCTTGGCAATAAGAAGAGAGGCAACCACAGCAAACTGAACAAATGTGCGAATCGACAAGAGGTTGCCCCTTGTATGATCGCTAGCGTCAACGGATTCGCGGATGACTATGCCATGATATATATAGATGGACGCGACTCAATATCTCGGTATCAGTCACCGACAGACAGTTCCCAATACCGAGCTCATACGAAACCATCGCCTTGCATCCCTGTCTGTCTTGCCTTTTCCCTCATGTCATTGGAAGATCCTTCAGTCAGGCACATTACGGAGAGTTACATGGCAACCGGAGTGCCCCGCAG